TATATATATTGCTTAGACAACAATATTACCAAACAGTTTAGGAAAACCCTTCACGGTCAGTCTGACAAATGGGACAACTTCCGAGTCATCAGGGATGGCTTTGAAAAGAAACCGCAGCAATAATCGATCTTCCGTTCCGCTAGACTAGGGGGACAGGGTGTGGTTCATACTTTTTGTCTGGTTCTTGTTTTTTGTGTTTTCCCCCGCTCCCCGGTGTTCTGTCAACAGGTGTACAACGTCACAGGCCGTGAAATAAAACAAAACAAAACAAAATTAAATTTAAAAAAGGAAGAAAAAAATGTCGCTACCTTTAAAAAAACCCGACCAATACGTCTACTGAAAAATTAGACATTGTAAAACTCAATTTCCAGCACAGCGGCTGCTGCATTAGGGCGTGAAACCGTCCGACAAGTTTTAATTGAGAGCGCAGTACGTGTTGTCTTTTTGTATAGAGGCCCACCACTCACGCACTGCGGGTCCAACTGTACAAAAAAAAACAAGCTTATGAAAGCTTGCGACAATCATTAAACATGTCCGACCAAGCAAAAACATGCAGAAAAATACCCCCCCCCCCCACCAAAACAAACAAACAAAGAAACAGACAAACCAACCAACCAACTAACCAACCAACCAATCAACAAACAAATAAAAAACCCAAAAAATAACAAACAAGAATAACAAAAAACAGACAAAAAAGAAAAAAAGAGAAAGAAACAAAAACTAAAAACCCGAAAGAAACAAAGAAAGAAAGAAAAAACCCCGAAAATAATAAGAAAGAAAGAAAAAAAAGAAAGAAAAAAAGGAAAAAAAGAAAGCAATCGAGCTGCAGACAAACTAGGAGTAGGCAAAAAAAATTTCTACAAAACTTCACATGCACACGAGAGAACACAAAAGGTGGGACATTGTAATCAAAAGTATAATGCTATATGTGAGGCAGCGTGGTGGAATCAGGCTCTCGTCAATTTTTGGGCAATTTAGAGTTATTGGCAACATCTAAAAGCTTGTTCACTTGTCTTTATTTGGATGGAAAAAAATATCCACTTATCTTAAATACAAGTCGAGATATTTGCGAAATAAGGAGGTGGGGTCACCTGTTTTCAGATGTAAAATTAGTGAGAAAATGGTCGCCAACGATTAGTTATTTCCTTGCTTAAGAGTCCGTGGTAACTGAAAATTTACCTTTTTTGGGCCTTTAATCAACGTTTTTCAAAATTATTCACACATAAATGAGTTCTTTAATAGGGATGAAAGGTTTTGAGAAAAACAAACAAAAATTCGATAAAAATTCACAAACCTGCGGAAAAATGCAAGTTTCTTCATTTTGATTACTTTGACGAGAGCCTGATTCCACCACGCTGCCTCACATATAGAGGAATAGCAACAGCAAACTGCTTTGTGGAAACCCTGTTAGATATTCTATAGAAACCTTTTGGGGGGCGG